CTCCCATGCTGGCTGGGGAATTCTGGGAGTTGAAGTCCACTCATCTTAAAGTGGCCAAGTTTGGACAACACTGATCTAGATGAACACTGGATGGCAGTAGAGCGATACAGAAAGCTAACCCTTTACTGTCATCTAGTGGTGGTCTGAAATTTTACAATTCAGATCTGGTAGCTGTAATTCATCTCGTGAGCGGAAGCCATTTTGTGTTAAGAGTTCTGATTTATATTTTCTTTTCGAATCTCCACCGTGCATTTTCACGTGATACATTCACAGAGTATTTTTCAACTGTTCTGCAGTTGAGGTCAGTTCCACATCAAGGTGGGATAGTAATGCTGTAGCGAAAAATAGGAGTGGTCAAACAGGAATGAAATCAGTAAGGGATTTTTAATACTACAGGAATGATAGTAATAATAGAGCTGGCCTACTTTACAGGGATTGCATAAAGATTATGGAGCTATGTACTGTATGTGAAGCAGTTTGAACACTTCTATCTAAACTGCTAACGTGCAAATATTTGAAAGTTTATTTTAATGCTTGATGCTGACAGTGTGTGAGACACAAACGGAAAAACACTTTATGCAACAGCATTTGGTACAGAATGGCTATGTGGTTCATTTAACCAGCTAGAAAGCATGTGTGCCAAGAGGCGACAAAATTCAGACAACAATCACATAGGGCCAACTTTCATGGCTGAATCCCAAAGTGTGAAATGTAAAATCCTGAAACTGTGGCTTGGTGGTGGCCCAGAATAAACCTTCTCTGTGGTGGCACCTTTGCTCTGGAATGACCTCCATTGTGATCCCTTATGTGTTCATATTTACGTGAAGTGAATTTTGATCATGGCACTACAGGGAGATGTGTACGAGAGAGGGAGTCGTGAGACTTTTTTTTGGTATTCTTTGCTGTTGTTAGCCATCCAGATTCACTTTCAAATGGACAGCCATATACACTGAATAAAAGAAAGAAAGAATAGATGGGATTTGCTTTAGTGGGGAAAAATATGAGGAAAAGCAGGCTTTAAGATATGACAGAAAAAAAGCCATAGCCAGGTGTTGTGTTTGGAAAAACAACAGAATAAGGGAAAAAATGTTATATTGAAAAGAGCCCCCTTTGATCAAATAAAGATAATAGCCTTTTGTTGTTGTTGTTATCCTAAAGCTATTTTGGGGGTGGCAGATTAGCACTCCCATCATCTTGAAAGTATACTCAAAAGTCCAATATGTCTAGACAGTGTCAGACTGAGTCAAGATTTAGTTGAGAATTTGTATCATATATCTGTTTCCTAGGCTAGAGATTGTCATACCAGAGATTAATTTCACTCACTGATTGCAGTTTAATCCGTAGTAATCAGCTGCAAGAGGACCACCTTGCGGCTGTCATCCCCTGAAGATCTTTTCAAATATTTGTATTTCTGTTTCTGCAATAATAATGCACACATGGATATGTGGATTAGCAAAGAGCAAAAGAGCCAGTTTGGTGTAGTGGTTCAGCTTCTGGCCTAGAAACCTGGAGACCCTTAGGCATGACAGCTGGCTGGGTGACTTTGAGCCAGTCACTCTGTCTCAGCCCAACCCAACTCACAGGGTTGTGGTTGCAGGAAAAATAGGAGGCAGGAGAATTAGGTATGTTTGCTGCCTTGAGTCGACCAAAATGTATTTAAAAAGGCAGGAAAACATCATCATCATCATCAAACCACATCTGCCTATCCCAGGTCCTTGGGAAGGACTTGATAGGTGGATAAAAATGCCAAATCCAGTCTAAATATCTGGCTGGCTGTGCAACCAACCATAATAATAATATGGCTTGACTGACAGTTAAGGGAGTTAGAAGTAGGGTTTATGGATGTCATTAGGTACCCCCTTAATTCTTCCCATTAATAGGCATTTGACCATTAGTGGCTAGGATTTTCCCACATGGCTGTTTAGAGTATATGTACAAGCCATTAAAAGAAAGCAAGGTGTAGCTGGTATTCATAATGGAGTAATTAAAAAAGGTTTACACTATATCTCCCTGTTCCCCTCCATGATCTTTAGATGACTGGCTGGCCTTTATACTCTGTGCTTATCTATTAATCATCATTTATTGTGCAGTATATAGCACTTCTGTGCTTTTCTGTCTTTATTGTGTTCACTTCATACTGTATTATGTGGTAAGTCATTGTTATTCCTATTTTACAAAATGGACGTTAGAAGTGGAGTTCCTTCTCCAGGCTGTTCTTACCTGGCTGAATTATGTTTTGAGGCCATGTCTGTGGTTCTAAAAGTGTCTTCCTGGATCAAATCTATATCCAGGTAGGGTTCAAATCCATGATTGGGAATAGCACTTAGTTTCACGATGAGATAAAACTGTTTTCTGTTGAGCATCTGACATCTGTTGTCGCTCTCCTCCTTCTGGCAGCTGCTGGAATTCCTGTGAGTTCACAGAAGGAATGTATGGAATATCCTTCAACGTGGTGCCAAGATTTTGCTACAGCTCTGAAGTGTGGGACTTTGGATCACTGTCAGAAAATGCTGCAACTTGACAGCACTGTGAGTATACATGACACTAATAAAATTTCCATTCCATTCTTTCCATTCCACTGAATCTAAGGTCTACATCAGCGTTTTTCAAACTTGGCAACTTTAAGATGTGTGGACTTCAACTCTCAGAAGTCCCCAGATAGATAGGTAGATAGATATGTGTGTATGTTGAAGACTGCATCATTTATTTAATAAATTTGTTGTCCTCTGTAATAAAATGACTATCAGCAGCTTGCAATATTTTTCAGTCCGTTATTTTAAAACATCCATAGTATAATAGTAAAATAAAATTAAACTACAAATATGCATATAATTAAATATATAAACAGCTGTAATAAAATAAAAAATAAAACCAATGCTGTAAGTGAATAAATAAATAGATGGGGACAATCACAATGCAAAAACTCTTCTAAATAATTCTGTTTAAGAAGTCTACAGAATACCATTAATGTGGAAGCTGATTGCACCTCAGGGGAGGAATATTCCATAAAGCAAGTGCCACAACTGAAAAGTTGGGCCTCTGAGCCTCCATTCCCTTTACCTCCCAAAAGTGAAGGATTATTTGAAATTTCTCCTGGGACATCTGCATTGAAACTGGTTGAAGAACATGATTCTAGAGATAGTCATCTCTTTGCACCTATGAACCTTTTGATCTCAAGGGCAAATGCAAGAAATAGATGGGGGTTAGGGTCTTCACCCACTGTCCCTAGTTAAAGGCAAAGGGAACTTCTTGTTTCACTCTTTCTCCTTTGTCCCTTTCAAGATGTAATTCAGATACAAGTGAGTCAGGTAATTTTTAATAAATACCATTTTTATTTCAAATACATTAAATGTCTACTATTCATTGATAGCTTAGGCTAAGCCTATACTTTGCATCCAAGATTAAAACAAAGAGATGGAAATAAAGAGATGGAAAGTTCATGCAAATGACCAATGTCCACCTTAACCTCACTCTTGAATTGTCTGTTAAAAGATAGTGTAGGTTTGGATTTATTCAAAACACATTTCCGTACTGATAGTAATTCAGGACTTTTAGATGCTTCCAATGTGTCTGGACTAAATTGTGAAATTGAAAGATGTTTTAATTGAATATAATGTGACATTTTAGACAATCCAAAATCTTGCAATAACTCAAATAATTTAAAAACATGATTGGCAACAAGCAGATCTAGAATATTAATACCCATGCACATGACTTTAAAACAACAACAAAACAAAACAAACAAAACAAAAATCTCTGTCATTTTCAGATTAGAATTATTGCAAACTATAAATTTGTCATTTGAATGCGAGTCAAATTTGTATTTCTGTCCCTCCATCTTCCCAATATGCCTTGCAGACTTTAATCCTGGAAATGCAGTAGAATTTTTATTAATAAGGAAAAAGTCGCATATTAACCTTCTAAATATGCCCATACAGGTAGTCCTCACTTAGTGCCCATAATAGGAACCAGAAAATTGGTCGTTAAGTGGGGTGGTTGTTAAGCAAGTCACCACATGACTGGACCTGATTTTACGACCATTTTTACAATGGCCATTAAGTGAATCACTGTGGTCATTAAGCAAATCATGTGGTTGTTAAACAAATCCAGCTTCCCCAATGGACATTTTTTGCCAGAATTCACTTAACAACCACATGATTTGCTTAATGACTGTGGTGATTTGCTTAACAACTGTCATAAAAAAGGTCGCAAATTGCAATCACGTGACTGGGGGGTGCAATGATTTGCAATGGTCATAAGTGCAAGTACAGATTGTAAAGCACTTTTTCTGAGGCCGTCGTAACTTCCAACCATTGTTAAACAAATGGTTGTTAAGCAAGGACTACCTGTAATGGTTTTTGGAGAGTGCTAGTGATTAGCTATTGCAACTATAATACTGTTACTATATTTATCTGACTAACTAAGGATTGAGATGCTGAAAACAAAATCAGAAACAAGTCAGGAGTTGAAAAAAAAGTATATTCTTGCTATGTAGAATTTAAATGTTGCCATATAACTACCAAATGAAACATAACATATAACCTTATAGTAGTTTCCATGTACAAAGCCCAAATTTAGCTGGACAGTATTATGGTCTAAGAAAGGAACTAAAACTATATAAATTGGATAAATAAACAAATAAATAAAACTTGATTAAAATCTTTAGCCATAATTATCTGATCCAGATGTTTTATCTAAAAGCATATTCCACACATTTAAACTAAGAAAATATTCAGAACATCTATGCAAAGCATCTGGATGGTCCCTAGTTAGGTCATTATAATTAGCAAATGCAATACAATTATTAAAATATTTAATCACTAGTATTAAAATATTTGTCCAGATCACTTATTTCTTCTTGTATTATGAATTTGGAAGACCTATTAATCAAAGTTACTATACCCTAGCAGATTTTGAGTTTCCATTTCTATATATTTGACCAACCCATTTGTTGATAAAAGATCTTTTCCATATGAAAGGATTTGAGGGTTTGTTTGTTTTTTGGTAAAAACAAGAACAAACCTTTGAGTTTTAAATGGGATGATTTTAAATTTAAATAGTTTAAATTTTAAATTGTCACCTCTTGGAAGGATATATAAGGCTTTCTACATTCCCTAATACAACTAAAAAATGAAACAAGCCGTGCATAAAAATACATTATTTCTGTAGGTCTGGGGAAAAATCATTTAAAGGATAACATTTTCTAAAGAACTAAAAATATGAAAAACAAATATGAAAAAATGGGAAAGACTGAATAAGAAAACCATAACTAATAAAATACTTTTAAAAGCTTTATTGAATAATATGCATTTCTGAAATGCAAATTATTCAATAAATAATTGAATGTTATTTATTCTGTTATTAAATCTGGAAAAATCATAACCTTTGTATTCTGTTCTAAAGATCCCCTTTGCTAAGACAAATGATTCTATGTTGTAGATCTTAAAAATATCATCCTAACAAGGCCGAGTTTCAGTACTGAACAGAAATGATAAGCAGGTTTGATAACCAGCCTGTATTCCAGTATCATTGGGGGGAAAAAAAAGCCTCATCTATTAAACTCTCCATATCCACAGCTATAGGCGGATCTTGCCTAGAGTTTTAAGGAATGTTTAAAAACCATAAATTATTTACACCAGCTATATAGGTCCCTTCTTCTTGAACATCTTTATTTATTCACAATGTTGTTTCAATGTCTGTGACACATGATTTGTCAGAATTTTCAGGTGATTTGTTAAGGATTTTAGCTATGTCACATTCTGATCTAGAGAAATAAATCTCTGCTTTTTCTCCCCAAAGTTTTATTTCATCTCATCTGCATGAATTCCAACATTATAAAAGATGATAAATCATGGGAAAGAGACTTTAAAATGATAAGTAATTTCATACAGCTTTCTTCCTGCTTCTTCTCTTGTGGGCCAGAAATAAATTCAGATTTTGGCTCTTCTTCAGCCCTGAGAAACTGCTTTCCCCTCAATCAGAAGGGGGTGCTTCTTGCTTTCTCTGTCTTTTTGACAGAGACCCATAATTTTTCTCTACATAGCAGAGAATTTAATTCTAATTTAAATGTAGAAAGACAAAAAGAGTTTTTGGCTTGCCAATTAAGCAAAAGAGAGTCAGTCTTTTGCCCTGGCAGAGGACTGAGATTATAAATTCAACACGTTGCATAATAATCAGAAGTTCTTCCTCTCTCTTTAGAAAACTTTCCCACTGGATAATTAGTAGTATTGTGAAGATATTGAATACTGCATCACAATGGGTTAGATCCAATAAAGTGTATGGGACTGTATTGTCCGTTCATTTCTGGGAAACCTGTATTCACCTCAAAGCTAAATCCAACGTTTAGTGGATTTTCCTATCAGTCATAATTTTTTTCCCCATCCTCTCCTGATGCTGCTCCCCAACTGCTACAGAGGGTTTTCTGATCTCCACACTTGTCCAAATTCTCCAGAACATATTTGGGACCTACAGAGGGATCCACAGGAGTATCTGTTCTGTTGGTGGAAGGGCACAGGTAGATGCACCTTCTACCCTGATCCAACCAATATCAATACAATACTGCAGGATGAACTGTATGTAATATATTTCCCTTCTTGCTATATCTTGGTTAGTTAATTCTGAAACCACCTTAGATTTTCTAACCTTCATTCTTGACTCAGTATGAAATGGAGAGAGTGTTTCAGTTTACTGGTTAGATCTTTTCAGTCCACCAGCATTGTCTTCTGCCCTGGACATTGAGGCCTGAATTATATGTTACATTATAGATACAGCCATTGCTCAAAATAGTAGCCACATATTTCGTCTCACTCACTTGACCTCTCTCCATCTTTTTTAACATCTTTACCAACTTGACCAAGTCCTTACTCCATGGCTGCAGTAAGCAATGTTGGAGAAAAGAGGGTATCACAGCCAACAGTTCCTATCATCCCTATCAACATTTTCTAGGCAGCCTGCAAATCTGGGGAATATTTGTCCAAGTCATTGGGAATTCAGCAAGGGAAAGGTGTGTAAGAAAAGCAGGTGGCCTGGTTTCCCTCCTGGCCTCTGTTTGCATGCTCCAATTTCTTTGAAGCTCACTAAAACTTAGTTCTGCTTATTTTAGGGTATATGGGAGGGAGCGTCATTTAAATCAATGGGTATATTTATGTACAGTCATAGTAAGCTTTTGGTGGTGTGGCCATAATGCCTAAACAAATCAGGTTACAAGTATAAAATCATCTGATGAAAATTGATAGGATAAAACAAGACAGGACAAGGATCTCTTTACTTAAGAATATCTACGCAAGCATCAATGCAAAGAAACATTTCTCAAGAGACTGCTGCAAATCTGGCTGTGGCTGCAAAAATTTTATCTTTTGTAGATGAGAAAAGAAAAATCATGTTAAAATGATCTGACCAATGGATTTTATTCTGCAATAGAGGTGAAGGAATTTTTCCCAGGGGCCTTGCAGAAATAGGTCAGTGAAGAAAATAATGGGGTAGATCCTTAATAACATTTGCTCTGCTCACAAGGGCGTTTTTTGTAGAGGATATTCCAAAAACTGCCTTCTGGAAGTGCTGATGGCATCAACTGCATTAGCAATTGAATTAGTGCTTTTCTTACTGGAAAAGTCTCCATTCTTATAATGGAGGAAGCTTCTAATTAAAGAAAACCAAGAAGTCACTTTATTATTTGCTAGGCCACTAAAATCAATCTGGATTGCACAATCATAAACATGGTTCTTAATTATTTCCTTTACAGCTGAAGGGGGAGCTGAGTTATTAAGGGCTCCGGTACAGAGCTAGGAACTTGTACTGTAGTTGCTGATGGGCTGAACTATCCCATGTAATAAATGCCACATCATCCCACATTTGTTTTAAAAACCTTCTTTTGGCTATTCTGGAAGGAGACAAGTGCTGTTACTTGAGCCATCGTTTAAATTTTTTCCTCTGTGTTATTGTTCTTACAGAAGTTATTCCCATCTTTATTTGAAGAAAGGAGATTGAAGTATATCTACGTACCCTCAGAACAGTGTTCAGGATTTTATTCTGATGGGATTCCAGGCCTAAGAACCCTGGAGTGGGCTGTAGACCCCAGATCTCAGCTCCACAGAGTAATGATGGTAGAAACTTTGCTTTAAGCAAACAAAGGGCTGGTTGCCCCCTTTTGCCACTAACATTTTTGGAAGCCAGTGATAGACATTTAACCTCATGGATTGACTGTGTGAAGTTCAGGCCCCATTATAAGAAAACAGGATACCATGGTACCAATAGGCAGTAACATGCTATATATATATAGTAGGATCTCGGTGCCATTTATGTCAGATGTTGCACCAAACCAATTGTCCTTGATTTGTTGTGATTACCTGCAAGATCTTCTGGTAATAAGAAACAACCGAGGCTAAACACATAGCCATACCACAGCTTGTGAAGTAAGGGTCATGTCATCAGCCTATAGCAATCATGGCAGTATTTTATTACCCTTTACAGGAAAAGCAGCAATATACCCCTGCTTCACTCTGCTAGAGGCTTTCTTTTCAATAGCGTACGAAACTGTAAGTGAATTGGATAGGACTTTTATTTAAATCAGCAGAACAACTTCATGATGACCTAGGTCCTGTTTTTGTTTCAAAGGAACTATGCAACTAATTTAGTCTGGATCCAAACCAAAGGGCTAAAATATAATGCAAATGTTCTCCTAATAACACTCTTCTTTTTTTCTTTCTCAGAAAAACCTTAAATGTAGTCTTTGTAAGTTCATTGTAGTTCTGATGGCAAAAGTTGTTCAAGACAATTCTACAGATGTAAGTACTCTAAGGCTGGGAATTGTAGGACCTAAGGGTGTTAGATGGGGGAGGGGGGGAGACACAGTTTTTGAGTGTAGTTATTTATTAATGAATGAATTACTCTTAAGAAATTTGAAAGAAATGTTCTGTGTTGTACTCTAGTTCACACATCAGACTAAGCAATAATGTGGCTTGTTTAGTGTCACTTAAGGTGATGTACATGAATGTAGCATTGTAGCTTGTAAATAATCATTTAGTGAGCAGGATATGTGAACCAGGCCACTATGACTATCTAGCAAATTGTAGTCAAACAAACCAAGGCTTAATCACGGCCAACGTTACTGTGGACTTGCCATGACCTCTTTATGGTACTAAACTTGCTTTGTTCAAAGTGAATTTTCCACTCCTACCCCAACTCTGTTTTCACAGATCGCTATAGCTGCCAGGAATATTATAAAGGATCTGAAACAGAACAAAATAGAGCGAAGCAAAACAAAACAACTTACATTCTTCCTTCCCTATATTTTTCCCCTTCCCAGGAAAGACTTGCTAAGTTTTTAGAGAAGGGTTGCCAATATCTTCCCTTCCAGGACTGGTCAGTCAAATGCAAGAAGATGGTGGACACAGGAGTAGTAATTCTTGTAGAGCTTGGTAAACAAGTTCAGGTAAATTCACTTTGGAACTGTTATGAGAGTTGGTTGGTGCTGATACTTCTAACTATGACTTCTGATGGAGACCAGATTCAAGTCAACCATTTTCTGATGGTTAATCTCTTGATTATTTACCCTACAACAGTCCCACCCAACCTTGTTGTGCATTTGATTTTGCTCAGTGTGCTGAAAATGCCATAGTCCTAATTATAGATGTACAACTCCAGATAACCCTGGGAAGAGGAAGTATTCAGGGGCTTTTAACATCTTCAGCAAAGTCCAGAATGAATAGAAAGTAGATGGAGGTCTACTTATGATTAATAGCAGATGGATATCAGACTCCCAGCTGTTTGGCCACAGACAGTAATAATAGGATTCCCCTAATCCCAAACCCATACCCCAAAAGGTAGCATAGCAAGAGAGGGCAAATTCAACTCCCAACATCACTTGCTGTTGACTGTTCTGACTGGACCTGCTAGGAATGACTCAACAACATCTACAGGGCCAGAGTTCGTGTGCTCCTGATAGGGGTGATAATAACCAGGAATAAATGTCCTATTGAAGGGCTGAGATTGCAGGTCACAGCAAATTCCTAGACTCATGATTTTCCAGATTTTTGCCTTTTTCCTGAGACCCTGTTAATAAAAAGTCTGAATGGTGATGCAGCTACACTTTAAATATGGAATACTAACAAGTCTATGTCACTTTCTTTATTCATTTCAAAATATATTTCTGTTTGATGGTGGTGTATGTTACCCTTAGATGTCCTCCAGCTTGAACAATTCACAGGATTCTTTTAGTTGAATATTTACTGATTTGAAAGGATGATCTCTCTTTTAAAACCAATATTGAAAACACTCTCGTATCTGACTGGTGTGTGTGTGTGTGTGTTTGAATAAGAGTGCATTATTTTGAACAGAATAAATGTTTAATTAAAATTTGAGCATATTAAATTGTAAATATTTCCTTTCCACCCAAGTGTTGCTCAGTCATTAACTTTGAAGCAGGTTAATGGTGCTGATGATGCATCGTTGTCAGATTCTGCTGTCAAGGTTGGAGATAATATTTTCAAAAATAGTATTTGAAAGTCACCGAAACCACCTCCCTTTCATATCTGATCAAACTGGCTTTGCAGGCTTTTGAAGTGCTACCAAAGCCTGCACAGCCCATTTGACCAGCGACACCCATGTATACAAAATACAATGAATGAGAATGATATTGGACTATCTTTAATTTGGGGGGAAAGAATGTTCTACCTCCATCCAAAGACTTCACATATAATGAAATGAAATATTTTGTTAGCTATTCTGCTCAACCTGCTTACATGTAATCAGTCCTTGATACAGATTTCTAATCTAAAATACAGGAGACGAGAGGAAAGGAGGGCGGAAGAAGTAGAAAAAGAAACTGATCCATCAATTCTTGAAGCTAAATAGTAGTTGTTTGGTCCATAGATGAGAAGTTTCTTTTTTCTTTTGAGAATTGAACAAGATTTCTATAAAGAACGCTGTAAATTTGTCAGCTAGAAGACAGCCTTTTCCAGCTCCTTTATTTTAAAGACCAGCAAGGTCCGTTTACGAAACTCTTTCTCTCTCTTCCAGGACAGACCTGAAATAGTGTGTGGTGCTTTTCAACTCTGCACTCAGCGAGATAACCACGGAGGGGCCCTGAAGTTTCAGAACCAACAAAAATCAGATGAACGGCCTGAAATAACAGGCTTCCCTGAAGTGCTGACTCCCTTCATAGCTAATGTGCCCCTTCTTCTCAATCCTCAAGATAAATCCCAGACAGAGCCTCGGGTGAGGAAGTAGTTGGGATCGTTGGTCTCCTCCAGAAGGGTCTCAGGGAAACGGGTGGGGCCTTGCCACTCTTGCTTAAGAGGCTTGGGATACCTCAACCAAACTTCATTTGAATTCTAAGGGCTGGCTCATTCAGACAAAGTTCTCTGGGACACTTATATGAGGGTCAAAAAGCTTCTGAACTAAACATCCTCTCATATTATCTGTCTAATCTCAAAAATGAGTAAAGATGTACGCATAAGCTATTTGCATGAATTAGCTCCCTTAGCTTCGGGGCAACAGCTATGATAGCTGGAAAGTATTAGGTTGGGGATTATTCATGCATACTTCATTTGTTTCTTGTGGGAGCTTCAGTGGCCAAGATAAGTGGTTGGGGAATATTACTTTGGGATCACCAAATGCCTGTGTGCAGTGTAGGTAATGTGCAAGCTGGACATTATTTCTGTTGTCTGGCAAAATGATTCATCCCAACTCAAATGTCAAATGGTAAATGGTGTTTCTTGAGCTGCTAGTGTGCTAACCCCTTTCTATAGCAACCTCTTTTATGGGATTAGCTTCAGCAACACAAAGTAATCGGTATTTTATTCCCGTGTTCTCCCCTGTGATCTTTAGTTCTGGCAGAGTGAAGTGAATCCCTGTGATGAATGCAGGGAAGTGGCTGCTGAAATACATGAAATTTTGAAGAGCAACCCCTTCCTTGTCCAGACTTTGGCGGATTATGCCAAGCAGCAGTGTGAGAATCTGGGGACCCACTTGGCAGATGAGGTAATTCACTTAGCATTTCCCTTAGTATGGGAAGCATATCTTGGTAACAATGGATGAGGAGGCCCTCAGAAAGGAGTCAGGATGGAATTAACTGAGTTGCTCACAAATAATTTGTTGATGATTGTGGCATGGCTTAATCTTTGAGTATTGACTCAAATTGTTTTTTTTTTTTAAATTTCTATAGTGCAAGAAATATGTCTTTGAGTACGCACATGTTTTCGTGCAACTGCTGACACATATCTTGGTAAGTTGCTTGCAACTTCATATCTTCTCCAAGCAAAAATGCATGCTTACTTAAGGTCCAATTTATAATAGTAAATATTTTAATCTTTCAAATGCTATATTCTAGAGACATGACTACTCCTTTTAAAATTCAGCTGGACTAAAACTCTTAGAATACCCAAGCAATTGCAACACACTTGTAATAAGCTGGGGAAAAGAAACCTTTTAAATAGCATAGAATTCAATGAGCAAAAGTGTTAATTGAATGGAATCTGCACAAAGATGTTTTTTCTCTGTAAGCTGCACATGTCACAAAGAAGAGTAAGAATTTAGAATTGTGTTGCCCTGCAAAGAAATTCCCACCCAATGCAGAAGATTCCAAAGCTACAAGCCTACTTAAATAAAAAGAAATCAATTTTATTGCACTTAAAATCCTTGCCCTTTGTTCTACGAGCAAAGCCTAGGTTACTTGTCAAGGGGAGCTCCATGGACATGACACTTAGGTCTGGAGCCTGTGGGTGAATCTCAGTGCCCCATACATTTGATTACAATCATTAAATGTATTAAGTTTGTATAATCCAACATCATGCTTTGCTCTTACAATTACTATTTCCAAGACCCATCTTATACATGGAATGTTTGTGGTCACTACTCATTGGCAATGTTTGAGTAGCCTGCTTCCCATTACCCTTAAATCTGCCATTTCCCCTACCCATTGACAGGATTTAGGAAGACCACAGGAGAACTTTTAACCCTAAATGACACAATCAAGATTACTATCTATTTTTGTGTGCTGTAAGAGGAAAACTAATACAAGAATCATTGATGTTAAAATACATTGATCAGGAGGTTTAAGTAATTGGTTGCTGAGCAACAGAACATAAGGTATTTGAAAAATAAGGCACAACAAAACTGTGGTCAAGTGAGCAAGTATTTGGGATTACTTCACCAATACCCCAGCATTTAGTTTTGTATATTCCTTCCCACATTTAACTATCTAGAAACATGGTATTAAGGCCTCTCTCTATGATCCGAAAGTCATTATCACTGTGCTTCTAATATTTGGCCTACAACTAATTAAAAACATCTGTAAAAAATGATTGAGGATTGATTGTGATAGGTTGTTGTAACCAAAGGAACATAATCTTAAAATGAATAACAATGTAGCCTTCTTTTTTTTTTTTTTTTGATGGTGGTGGGGGATAAGAATGCTAGTCTTGGCTCAGTGGGCACCAGGCTTTTATTCTGAAACAGGTGCATAATGAAGGCTGGCCAAAGATGTCTAGTTTCTGAGACAAAGGGCACAGCAATGTCCATTTCCTCATCCCACTTGCAGCAAATGGTGGATTTGGAGATTACATCTCATTTCAAGGGTGGTGGAGGGGTAGCAAAGTCCAGCTAGGGTGGTAGTCCTGAAACAAATACTCAGAAAGTAGCAGACCAGATTAGGGATACATTTGGTCAGTAGATACAACCCTGTCCTCCAGGAGTGGACAGCCACTACTATGCCTCACAATACCTAATGGCTGGGCTGGGTTTGAGTTCAATGTGATTAGATACCATTGTTGTACCAATGTAGCCCTTCACAGAATGTGAAGGCAATTGAAGATCTCAGGGAGAGGTGCAGCCTCTGATCATCTCAGCTTTCTTTTCTATGCATGTTCTTTTAACTTTCTGTGAATGCTGGTGGCAGAATGTTACAAGAATCTGAGAGAAAAACCTGATGTAGTAAGGAAGAAGATGCATAGCTAATACATGGCATTTTTGCTCAATCAGTAGAGTTTGCTTTGAATGCTTTTTCTCATTGTCTTATCTTTTCCTTTCTCCTCACCCCCATCTATTGGACCACAGGACAAGGTATGTATGCTTTTCATTACAAGCTTTTTCTTGTTATGATTTTTTGAGTTAAACAATGGCAAACAGTTTGTCTGACTGAAAGGAGCTTGGGGTTTGGGAAAAATTGAAAGTAGAGCAGGCAATAATTCCTCTTTGTGTTCCCAAAGGAGAGGTGAAAAGGAAGACTTCATATATTAACAGTCTGAACATTGTGGTCAGTTTACTGAAAAAAATCTGAAGAACTGAAGTTTTTAAAGATAAACAGGTTTATATTTGTATGATTCTGGAGTTAACCTACAGAATTGGGAGGTTAACTTTCCCAGAATTAGGGATTTTGCTACTAAGTGCTGGATTCTCTTATCTCCCAGATATTTAACAGCCCCAAAAAGTTCTGCACAGTTTAATTTTTATTTGTTTAAGAAAAATTGTCCACAGGTCAACATTTTCCTGTTAGTACAATCGCAGGCAGGAAGAAGGTACCAATAGGTGTGGCCATGTCACATATGTAGCCAAGCCAAGATTTTCAGGTCTTTCCTCTGTTCCCCCCCCCCCCCCC